TTCTTCTTCTTCTTCTTCTTCTTCTTCTTCTTCTTCTTCTTCTTTTCCTCCTCCTCCTCCTCCTCCTCCTCCTCCTCTTCCTCCAGCGGGAGCAATTTCAAGTCAGCAGTTTGTCTGGATCTTCCAGCCCCAAGACAGTCCTGTTCCCGCCACGAAGGAGCAAACGCTCTGACAGCCGCCATTGCTCATCTGCACGCTTGCAAGCTTCCCCCAGAGGAAGCATGCAGGGTCATTGCTTCCTAGACTTAAGCTTGATTATGCCAAACTGTAATGCAATCAAAAGATTTCCTTGCAAACCTCACTCCAACTTGTCCCATTGCTGTCCTTCCAGCAAGATGGTCATTGTGAATCGCTGGTACCCTACTCTCCCATGCAAATCAAAACCAGCCTGCTGCATGGATGTGCTAGGCGAGAGAAGAGGAGGTTATTATCTGGAGGCAAGAGGATTCCTAATTGCACAACAAAGCAGTTCCTTGTACACTGCCTTAGATAAACGCTTCTTTATTCCAGGGGCTGCATGATCTCCCGTGGCGGCCTCTCTCCCACGTCAGTAGGCAGTCATGAGGGGAGCCGCGTTCAGCCGTTGTGCAGGTCCGTAAGGGGCCTTTGACGGAATGCTCACTGCGTCCATTGACACACTGGCAAATCTGAGGTCACAAGCTTGGCTGGGGCACATGAGCCCAATAAAGAGGCTGGCTTTGCCCTCCTGACACAAAGCCAGGCTCTTTATCAGCTTCATTGTGTACCTAGGGTCATGTGCTAACAAAGAGGATTTCTCTCGTTATAATCCCCCTAATGATGGCTTCTCCCAGCCTTTCCCCCAACCCCACCGGGCCCCGTGGCTTGGCAAGGCGGAGAGAATAAAGGCAGCACGGTGCTTGGCTTTTGAACTGAGTTCAAGGCAATTAAAGTCAAGGGCTAAGGGGAGAAGGAGGGGGCTTCGGAACAGCAGCATAATAAGCAGTATGGCTGGAGTGCTCTGGAAATTAACTCAATTAGACGGAGCCTGATTTAACGGGGAGGGCTGGCGAGAAGCGCTCCCCTCATTAAATTTGATGGTGGAGGAGCTTCTGCCGAAATTAAATTTGTGTTAGCTGTCTGAGTCACACAAATGTGCACGGGCATGTACGCATGTGCACACATGCAGGTTCTGCGATTTAGGTGGGAATTTTGAGAGGGAGAGAAAGCGGCTGGAACTGAAAAACAAACAAACAGGAAAAAAGAAAGGAAAAGGAAAGGGAAGGGAATTTGAGTAAGCGAACGCTCCCGAATTCAGGAGTGGAAGGCAAGAGGAAAAGCCAGGCAGAACAGAGGTGGGGCGCCTGCTCAGGTCCCCCAATTACGAAGTCATGGGCCTTGTGCAGTGGGGGCTTCTGCTGGCTTGCCTGGGTTGCGGGATTCCGCTCGGAGTTCGGGCTCAGTTTCCCCGGGTCTGCATGACCTTGGAAGGGGTGCTGAGCAAAGAGTGCTGCCCACCCCTGGGTCCCGAGCTGGCCAACATCTGTGGATCTCTAGAGGGCCGCGGGCAGTGCACAGAGGTGCAGACAGACACCAGGCCCTGGGGTGGCCCTTATGTCCTCCGGAACCAAGATGACCGTGAACAATGGCCAAGAAAATTCTTCAACCGGACGTGCAAGTGTGCAGGTGAGGCCCTTGGGTAGATGCTGCTTTACTCGGAACCTGACCTCGGGGGAGAATGCTCACGGGGAAAGTGAGCTCTCCTGAGGCAGAGATGAGGCTAGTGTTTCGGGGGCAAGTCTATTCAGTAAGGCTGATGGACTGGGTGCATCTTTTACTCCGTGTACATGTACTTATGAAAACTAAATCAACACTCTGTGGGCCAAACCTGGATTTCTGAACACATGCCAACATACCTTTGGCTTGTCTGTCGGGAGGGGAAGCTGCAGAGATGGGGAGCCTGCTTTTGAAACAAGAACAAGTCCTTTCAAGATGGTTCGGGGCCTCTCCTGTAATGGGTTCACACTTGCTAAGGTGTTGGGTGCGGCTTGGCAGCCAGCGGTAGGAGGAGGCAGGTGCTGCTGAGTCCTGGCCTCAGCATTTCTCATGATTTGAAGAGACCACTAACTGTCCGCCTGCCCTGTTCAAGCCAGGACTGGACTGTAACTTGGCCAAAGTTGGGGAGACGGAGCAAAGCAGTTTCCTCAATGAAGTGTTGTGAGGGTTCAGCAGCTTCCGTCAGTTGTCTGAGCTCCACCCAAGCGGCTACCAGACCTGCTCCCTGTCCTTCCCGTACAATCCTGTCTCCCCCAATACCTGTTTGTTTGAAATCTGCATTTTCTCTGCCTTTCTGGGCTTCTTAACTCTTCCTCTATCCTTCTGGTTTCCAGAAACCATGTGATGAGCATTCAGTGTTGGAAGGGCATCTGAAAAATCAAAACCTGCGAGCAGCCCCTCCACCACGGCCCCCGGACAATGTCCCTCAGTGGCCAGCTGCATGCCACCTTCCCTTCCGGCATGTCTCTGCCTTCTCACGTGCTGCTGAAACACAGAGTCCAGCTGTGTCAGGGTCTGAAACGATATCAGAAGGGGAAGGTGCGAGACCTTTGAAAGTTCTGCCCTTATAATTTCGTCATGATGCATTTTCCATCATGTTAGAAGCCCCGAGAGATTGGACCTAGGACCGTGCATATGCCACGCCAGGCTCTAACAGTAACTGTGTCCCCAGGCCTTGTAATTGTTTTACACTACGTGAGTCAAAGGATTTTTCAGGTCCTGGTTTTGCTCTGCATATCAATGGTGACTAAAGTTGTGATAGCATATTGAATATGTGTTATCTGCTTTTGAGCCATTATAGCATTGTTTTCATAGATATTGCTTTGTAGGTTTTCAGTCCATGGGGGGAACCCTGGATTCCACGCTGGTGGTATTGAAAACCACACTAACGTGGGCAACCTTGGTCCCAAACCTCTAGAGCCTTCTATGGTGATGATTTCCATGTTAATAGATGGCAAACACCCTGTCTTCCAAAAGCTGAGGATCTCTGCTTTAGAGGGAAAGAATGCTCTAGCAGATAAAGCAGTTAGTTCACCCTAACCCACCTGTGTAGTTTCCACTCAGATAGCGCAAGCACAGTTGCTTTTAGGAAGCTGAAGTGGAAATGGCTGGGCATAGCAGAATAGAAGGCAGGCTTGTTGTGTCTCCTTGTTGAGGAAGTGTTTGATTATTGATCGGGAAGAGTCAGAGTGACATGACACCCTTTCACATGGAAAGACATCCCATTTCCAGAGGCCAGCTCCTAGAAGCAGGGCTTCATCATGGCGCTGAGTCTCCAAGTCCCCGCTCTGATCCCATGACTACCCTCGAGGGCCCGTCCTCTGCCTGTGTTCACCTCCTTCCCATGGTTCATTTGCCTGCAGCTCACTCAGAACCATTGCTCCTTCTCTGCTGCTTGCACACGTCTGTTAAGATGGCTTAAGAGTTGCTGCTTGTAATATTTAATTTGGTAAATTATTCCTTTTATCCAGCTTTAGGAAGTGTAACTGCTGGGGGCAGAAGAGATGGCCCAGTGGTTAAGAGCATGGGATGCTCTACCAGTGGTCCCGAGTTCAAGTTTCACACCCACATGGCTCACAGACATCTTTAACTCATCGCATGGGATCTGATGCCCTCTTCTGGAGTGCGGATGTACATTCAGACAAGCACCCAGATGCATACATAAATAAAGACTAAAAAAAAAAATAGCACAAAATTCTGCACACAATCTATATGTGCAATTTAATAAGTATAGCCTCACTTTCCTTCTTACATTAATTAAGGTAATGAACACGTCCACCACCTCCAAGAAGTTCCCTTGCCTTTCTTGACTTTGTGGCTTTGCAGGAAGACTTAACATGCGCTTTAGCCTGGCAGTGCATTCTTACATGTACAGTATCTCGTATTGAACCATGCTGAAGGCAGAGTGGATATCCAAAAACCTAGTCACCGTGCGCTACTCTAACTCGGTGCTCCTTCCCAGGAGCTGCCCTTGTCCCTGCTAGCCACCACCTCCCATCCCTTCTGTTAGCTGCCCACTTCAGGTGCCTCAGTTAGGAGGAGCCAGGCCTTATAGGACAGTGGGGGATTTGTTTCACTGAACATAGTGTCTTTCAGGTCGGTCCACAGGTTGTAAGAGGTAGGTGATGGACCCACCGCCTCTTCCTTCTCCTTTTCTCAACTAAACAAAACCTTTTCTTTTGAAATTCTGGAAACTGAACCCAGCTGGGGCTTACCCACACTAATCAGACATTCTCCCACTGAGCGACATCCTCAGTCCCCCTTTGGCTCCATTTTTGTTGGCTGAATGATTTGTTTCCCGGAGTCTTGAGACACAGGGCTAAGTCTTAGAGACTTGCAATGGAAAGCCGCTTTGTGTCATAGTTGTCACCGTTCTGTGACATTCCAAAGTTTCAAAGACAAACACATGGCTGTCTTTTTTTCCTCCTTCAAGAGTGAGCGAATTACCTTCATTGAGTAATGTTTTCGTAGTTTTCAGGTACTCTGTGGAATTTATGTCTGACTTTTAGCATCCCAAAGGCCCCTGGCTCTGGGAACCCTCAAAATATCTTGCAAACAGAGCACCTGGAACTCTCCTGGTCACCCCGAAGTTTCTAAGGCGGAGATGGAAATTAGCATCTGGCCACCAAAGTGCTGGTGACCTTTGCATTTGCTGATTCATTGAGAAAATAATGATTTCGAGCATTCTACTATAGGCTCCATACGGAAAACTAAAAAAAATAAACTAAAATAAGCAAATTCTGTGCCCCAATTCTCTATAGAGCATTTCTCTATTCTCCATTGTGATAAATCATTTTTCTATTCTCTATTGGGATAAATTGGGGAAAAGTACTGAATGTAATTGTCAGGAATTAATTGTAAAGTCGGGAGGCTTGGGTGTTGGCCACCACATTCAGAGGCTCACCTGACAGTTAGCATTTATGAGCAGACGCCAGTTGCAGCTGTACCTTTGGGCTTTTGAAATCCTTGGGCATCACATAGTTTGTGAACAGTTGGCTGAGAACTTCTTGTTTGTACAAGTGACTAAGTGCCTCATTTTCCAATCTCTGAAATGGGGATAATGATGAAACCACACTTGTAAAGCCTTTTTGAGCTCTGCAGATGAAAGAAACTGTGTGAGTATAAAGTATTGTTATTAAAATAATAGAATCTCTAATTAAAAGGAGTAGCCTATTTAGACTTCCTTGTAAACTCACTAATCGGTGGTCGTTAAGCTTAGTTAGTCTAATAGCGTTTTGAGTTTGGGCCGCGCAGTGCATGTAGGGACATGTGGTATGGAGATGTTTTCTCTCTCCTCATCCTAGTTTTAAGTTAGGGGAGGATTTTGACTCTTTAAGTTTAATTTTTGCTCAAGAACACACTCAATGTGAGAGAGACCGGAGTCCCGCTCTCCCCTCCCGTTTCCCAACAGCAGCAGCAGCGACAAGACAAGGTCTTTGTGAGTGAATCCCACTTGCACTTCTTCCCACTGACGCATGAAGGAGAGGAGTAACTCGTATTAAGCTGGTGCAAGACACAACCAGAAAATAAGAAAAAAACAAAAAACGCAGCATGTGTAACATTTTCTAGTTGTTTCTAGTCTTTTGACAAATTCTACAGACCACGTCTGAAAGCTAAAAGTAGAAGGGACCCAATGTACATGTAGAAAAGGAGTTTTCTAACTGAGCAAGTGTCTGGATTATACACAAGTAGCAAGTACATTCTGGTGAGCGGTTAACTCCGTGTGTGTGTGTGTGTGTGTGTGTGTGTGTGTGTGTGTGTGTGTGTGAGTGAGAGAGACTCGCTTCCATTACAACTTTGTGCTCATCTTAGCTGTGAAGCAGTGCTGTCTTCTAAGCCAGGAGTGCTTGTCTTGTCTTTTGTCAGATCCCAAACCTCGGGTTCTTTCCATTTTTATGTCTCTTACAGTCACAGTGGTGTTGGTGCCCGAGTCCCCCACTTCCTCTATTCTACAATGGTGCCTTGTTTATGTTTGTATTTCCCAGGACCTAAAAAATACCCCTTCCCCAATGTCCAGTGTTCCTCCCATCACTCATATAAATGACATTTACTTAGTGTTGTGTTGATCCCGATTTGTGCAGAAATGGGGCAATGGACGTAGTGTTCAAGGGCGCATGACAGGGACAAGTGAAGACTAGCGACCGCGCTGCCACTGGAAGACTGAACGGTAGCGTGGAGCTTGCTGTGCCCCGGACACCGTTCCCTGCGCTCGCCAGCAACGCACTGATTGTCACAAGAACTCTGTGGAGCGGAGCCCTTATTTTGCTATGGGAAGCTCAGAGAGGTTCAGAACTTTGTTGACCTTCTGTTACGGACTTTATCGATTTGTTCTTATGAAAGAGAGTGTTTGATTTAAGATAACACAATGCCGACTATCAGCCTTTCAGATTTTGCTGCTAGTGCCTACCGCTTGGGTTTCTGTGACTATAGGCCTTTCATTAAGGTCCAGTAAGCATGACAGGTGAGACAGTGCCTTCAGACAATCCAGCTTACTGCCTTCCATTTCCCGCAAGTCTCCCCCTAAAAAACTTCATTATTTTTACAAGTATTTATTTATTTTTATTTCGTGTCTATGAGCATTTGCTTGCATGTATGTATGTGCACCAGGTGTGTGCACGCCTGGTGCCCGGAAGATGGTGGAAGCCAGAAGAGGACCTCAGATCCCTTGGAAAAGGAGTTGCTGACGTCTGTGAACTACTTCATGAGCAGGCCTGGAAGTCACCCTGGGTCCTCTGAAGCAGCTCTCCATGTGCGCTTGTAACACCAGTGCTGGAGGTGGGGACGGACGACTTCCTGGGGCCTGTGGGCCAGACAGACAGACAGACAGACAGCCTAGCTGATTGATGAGCCTTGCCAGACAGACAGACAGACAGACAGCCTAGCTGATTGGTGAGCCTGTTGGCCAGACAGACAGACAGCCTAGCTGATTGGTGAGCCTGTTGGCCAGACAGACAGACGGCCTAGCTGATTGGTGAGCCCTAGGCTAAGTGAGACAGTGTTTCACAGGAACAGTGAGAGTAATAGAAGACACTTGATGATGACCTCTGGTGTGCACACATGCATACACATACACAAACTCACACAGACTTGGAACACAACAACAACAACAACAACATCAACACACACACACACACACACACACACACACACACACACACTGAGAGCACCTTTGCCTTTGTACGTCCCCCCTGTCCACTGCTGCTGGCCTCCTGCTCCACACTGGTCTTGTTTCTCTCCCATTGAAGCCATCCCATTGATGACTATGTACTTTTTTGGAGTAGACTTTTAAAACCAGCTGCAAGTTTGACGGAGTGCTCAACTGAGTAGTAAGTGTTCGTCAGAGATAAAATTTGTTCATTCACTTATCATAAAAAAAAAGTTATTGCTGTAAAAGTTACCCCAGTGGGTGGTATGTCTTTTCTTCCTCTCTCTTTCTGTCCTGATGATGCTGGGGGTAGAAATGAAGAGTTCCACCACTGAGCCAGGTCTCCTTGATGATCAAAAATAAATACTTGGATAAAGGGGAGTGGAAGTGGCTGAGGGGATGTAGCTCAGTCGGTCTGTCTGCTGGGACCCAGGCTGGGGGTGCCGCTCAGTGCCTTGCATGTGAGAAGCTCTGGGTTCTACACCTCCTAGGCCAGTTCTGGTAGAACATGGTATAGTGAGGATCTATCTGACAGTAAATGGTGGGCGAGGAGCTCATGCAGGGAGGGATTTAGGAAGAAGGTAAGAGGAAGTGTTCCAGGCACAAGAAGGAACAGGTAATAATCGTGGGGACGTGAGGTAGAGACTGCGGCTGAGCAGGGACCTGGTTGTTGACATTACAGCTAGGAATCACTTTAATGTTCTGGAGATAAGCGCCTTTATCTTCTTGTGGGAATAATAGCTGAACTTTCCCTCTCAGATGGAACAGCACCTAAGGATGAGGAGCTGATTACACCCAAAGGAAACCAACAGGTATAAGAATCAAAGGCAGGCAAAGCACTTGGACTTGGCCACCAGTCCTCAGGGACGCCATAGAACTTGCTCACTAGTTCTTGTTCCCTGCGTGTGGGAAAGCACAGGTGTTTGGTCACAGACAGCAAATTCTAAACAATTTGCACTTCTTGACATCATGGTCTGTAATTCACTTTTATGATCTGTCAGGCACCATTGATTTTTGTCTTAACACAGTCTCCTTGGTGAAATAAACCAGGATTTTTAGAATTAGATACCACCCAAATGCTGAAGTCAGCTTCTTTACTATTACAATTATTTAGAGACAGGATTTCTCAGTGCAAAGCTGGCTGTCTTGTCCTAGAACTCACTAGTAGACCAGGCTGGCCTTGAACTCACAGAAATCAGCCTACCTCTGTGTCCTGTGTGTTGGAATTGTTAAGTCAATGGAGCAGTCTGTGCTGGTCCAGTGGTGTGGGCTGCATAGACAGTTGAGCTTAGCCAGGTCATGCCAGGTTGGGGCGTAGAGAGGATGTCAGAAGAGAGCATTCTGGGACACAATGGGCAGGAGAGTCCCTTTGCCATGGTTACTGCAACAAGCCTTTGCAAACTGTGTGACAGAGGAGCAGAAATAATTTTCTACTTGTTCTGGAGGTGGAGGCCCGAGAACAAGGTGTGAGCAGGGCTGGAGTCTGATTCTCACATCCCTTGGTCCAGATGAGCTCCGTGTGTTCTCATGCGGCCCTCCCTCTGTGTGTACAGAGATAGCATTCATACTAGGTGAGGGGATGACGCTCCAGCGTCCTCATTTGGCTTAACTGCCATCTTGAAAACCTGATTTCCAAAACTAGACACATGCTGAGGTTCCGTGAACAAGATCTTCCTCCTCCTGTTTTGTTTTAACAATGAAAAATGATTGTTGTACAGCAATATAGTCATAGAGGCTGTAAGACCAAGAATAAGGCAGCAACATCGGGCCTGGGTTCTCAGGGGACCCTGTCCTGTGCTTCATGTGCCAGGGCTCTTCTTGGCTCCTCCTAACATCTCATCTCTTCTGTTCTACCTGGAATTCCAACTGAGAATTTTCTTCCAAAGTGAATAACCTCACCCCCAATCCCCATTGTCCCCTTCTTATGAACCAGGAAACTTCGCTGGTTATAATTGTGGAGACTGCAAGTTTGGCTGGACTGGCCCCAACTGTGAGGAGAGGAAGCCACGTGTCCTCCGGCAGAATATCCATTCCCTGACTCCCCAGGAGAGGGAGCAGTTCCTGACCGCCTTAGACCTGGCGAAGAAGACTGTCCATCCGGACTACGTGATCACCACGCAGCACTGGCTGGGACTGCTGGGGCCCAACCGGACCCAGCCACAGGTTGCCAACTGCAGCGTGTATGACTTTTTTGTCTGGCTCCATTACTATTCTGTTCGAGACACGTTATTAGGTGGGTTTTCCCCATAGGTTTAACCTCTGTTATTAGAGGCTTGTGTCTAGGTTGGGCACGGGGTGGAAGTCATTCAATACAAGTTAATTAACGGGAAGCAACCTTAAGCGAGGTTACTCTTTGGACTGGCAGAATCACCAAACAGCGCCTGTAGTTCAAATGAGGCCGTTTCTTCCTGTTCCACAGACACTGCAAGCCTCTCCTCGCTTATATTCCTGGTTCAAAGCCTAATCCTTGCTCTCTGAAACTTAATCCTCAAAGGCACAAGCTGGTAAAGTGGAGGCAAATTCCTTTTGATTCCAGAAAAGAAAAAAAAATTAACTTTGACTTAAAAGCCAGTCTTGGCCTTTTCTTCAAATGAGAGAATTAACTGAACGTATGCCAGGAGTGCAGCGTTTCCTTGTTCAGAACTGCCGTCTCTGGGCTACAAGCGTGGGGCTCCTGAAACCCACACATCTTTACGCTTTCCGTTGGAAGTTTACTCGAGGTTGCTCCCTAGTAGGGACAGGTGGCTTCTGTCGAGCTCAGTTCTCTCCTTCCACCTTAATGTGGGTTGCATGGGTCAGGCTCAGGTGTCCAGGCTCACTCTGCAAGTGTCTTTACTTTCTCTCTGGCTATAAGCATTGTTTTCACCTCACCGCTTTCCGAATCATCCAACAGAGGCATACTCATCCATGAGGCTAAGCAAGAAGAACTCGTTATGGCTTGGCGTAAACTTTTCCTAGACAGCACAATTCCAAAATGCTTGGAGGCTGCTCGGAGGCTCCTCGGAGTCCGCACAGTTGTCTTTAGACACCCACACATGCGAGCGCTATCTACCGTACACGTGTTCCCCCGCCTCCACAACAATAACAATTGTGAAATAGCGAGGACTCCCCCGCCCTGGAACCTAAACCTTGGGTGCCGGGTGGGGTATGCACAGGATATTGTCATGCACGTCACTAATCAAATAGCAGCAGCTTCAACCTCTGTGACTGACAGACTGGGGAGAAGCCATTGGTTTGTTTCTGGAGAGTTCAAATCCGTTCTTGATTCTTCTCACAACTTCTCAGAGTAGTCTGTACACTTGGCTATCTCTGCTTTTGTCCCTCCTTGGTTCCCCCCCCCCCCCGGGGGAAGGGCGGACGCAATCCCCTGGCATACTTGGGCTGATGCGGTTCTCCCTTGGCATCTCACTCTTTCCCGCTTGTTACTGGTCCCCATCCTTTGCTGTCTCTCTCATAATTCTGTGTAGAAAACTTGAAACTTTTCTTTAGTCCAAAAACCCATTTATTAAAAAGGCTCCATGGCCAGCAGCAGCAGCAGCAGCCCTGTTTTTAGTGAGAGCGTTGTTAAAGGCTGCCTCGCAGCTGGGCATCCATCTTCCTTCATCGACAGATGACGGGGCTCCTCTGGCTATGAGCCTTTATCGCTTTCTTTCCCATCATTACTCTGAGGAATTTTTGCTTTATGAGAGGGTAGCCTCTCAGGAGGAAAGGAAAACTGTGACTTCTGGTCCTGTCTAGGGACTCAATTTATATTCATGTCCGCTCAGCTCTCTGAAGTTATTACAGGTGCTTTGAAAGAACTGAAGTGAGCTGAGGCTTCTGCGCAAGCGCCATCAGAAGCTGCCCTGGAGGGCAGGAGAAGGACGGAGCAGGCACCAAGAAGGGCGTTAAATTGCCCACAGCGCCTCACTGAAATTGGCAGTTCCAGTAGCCAGCTAAATTGGTTCCAGCATAGTCTTCTGGTCTCAGTGACCACGCTTGTCAGCTGCTGCTTCTCATTGATTGATGGGTGAGGCAGAATTCGTGAAGGTTCCTTTTGGTTGTACAAAGGCTGCATTAGCATGGTCGCCGTTACTTCATTATTAAGTAATTGCTCTGTTATAAATTTATGCACTTTTAAAGAACAAATCAGAAAATATCTTTAAAATACATTTCATTTAGGTCTTAATGATCCACGATTTTATACAGCATTTTATTTTCATGCATTACTGTGGAAAAATCACAGGACACGGACTTCTGACCATGGCTTGAGTTCCTGGGTTCTCTGCTAAAAAAAAAATCAAACCTTGGAGAAATGAAAGAGACTCCTTTGTGCAATTCTTCTTACTGTTGCCTTTTTAATAGACAAATAGTTTTTAAATTAAGGCACTGTGGACTTATTGGACACAGACACACTCTCGATGCGGTTTAACATCTTAAATATTCTGTTCTCTGATGTCTGTTTCCCAACTGTGTTAGGACCAGGACGCCCCTATAAGGCCATAGATTTCTCACACCAAGGACCTGCGTTTGTCACCTGGCACAGATACCATTTGTTGTGGCTGGAAAGAGATCTTCAGGTTGGTGAAAACCGTGAACGCACCATCCAAACAGTGTTTGCATTTGAGGACTACGCAATGTTTGATACACTTATTTCAGTGGTAACTAGTCCAGGAAAGTAATACGCTCAGCATTTCAGATGGCTTTCCTTTCCGTGTGTGTTGAGTACCTAAAGTGCGCTCTCTTGACAAACTAGCTATGTGTGAAGATGTTGTGAATTTTGCCCTCCTGTTGTAATTAGAGTTCTAGACTGTTTCATCTTCCCAATTCTCCCTACTTTTTGCTCATTTGATATTGTTTCTTTTTCAGATGTTCATGTGCATAAGATTATACAGCATTTTCCTTTTTTCTTTTTTAAACCTGGTTTGTTTCACTTAGCATAATGTTCTCAAGGTTTGTCTACTTTGTTGCAAATGGTGGGATCTCCTGCATTAAATCAGAACAGTTACATTGTGCTTATCTACACATATGCACAGATGCACATACGTGACATTGATGCATTCATGTGGACATATACCAACGTGTTTTTGTATATTGACTTTACAAAAAACCCATTTGGTTAGTATTTCTAGTTTTGCTATAAAATCGGCCAAGAAACATGCCAGCCATTGCCTTACACACCGTGTGTCGTATCTGGCACACACACAGAGTGACAGAACCTACCTTTGCTTTCAGAGACTCATCGGCAACGAGTCCTTTGCTTTGCCCTACTGGAACTTTGCAACTGGAGAGACAGAGTGTGACGTCTGCACAGACGAGCTGTTTGGAGCAGCAAGACAAGACGACCCAACGCTGATCAGTCAGAACTCAAGATTCTCCACCTGGGAGATCGTGTGTGACAGGTAATGTGACGGAACTCTCGAGACTGCTTTCCCTCAGTTCTGGGTGACAGGACTGTGTTTCTTTGTCTTTCTCTCTGTGTACTGGTGCGGGAGAATTGTCTGTATTCTGTCAATCATGTATTTTAATAAAACGCTGATTGGCCAGACAGGAAGTATAGGTGGGTCAACCAGACAGGAAGTAGAGGCGGGGCAATGAGAAGAGGCTAAGGCTAGGGAGGAGGAAACTCCCTTAGCCACTCCTGCGCAGACCACTAGAGAGGAAGCATGTAAGCTGCCCGGCTGGAAAAGGTACTGAGCCATTATGGCTAACATAGATAATGATAATGGATTAATATAAGTTACAAGGACTAATAATAAGCCTGACCTATTGGGTCAATCAGTTTATAATCTTATGGAGTCTTGTGTGTGATTTTCTTTGGGGTTTGCCGGCTGTGGAGTACCGGGCGGGACAGATACCCCAACAAGCCAGCCCTCATGTTACAGTGTACGTAGAGCTTTGCTTAGATGGTCCTTAAAACATCCCCCCCTCCACACTCAGGGGAGGTAGGAGTTTACACATTCAAACTTCTCAAATTAAAAAAGTAAATGTGTAGAATTCATACAAATGGTTTGAGTGTGCTTGGGCATCATTTGGAGACCAGGGGCATGGGTTTACACTCAGGAACAGTTCCGGCCTTCAGCCAACAGTTGCCGAGCATCAAGCACATTCTTGGTGTTGCAACACTGCTGGGAACAGTAGGATGAATAAGATCCAGCCCTTCTGCGTTTACAGAGATCAATTTGTGGTAAATGAATTGCCGAGCAGTCTGAGAAGTTCTATAATAGGTGTGCGTGTGTGTCTGTGTGTGTCTGTGAAGCCAAGAAGAGAGTCAGGACAAGTCCACAGGTGTGTGCAGCTGACGGTTCTGAGACAGAAGGAGGAACATATAGACCCTGGCTCCATATGGGGAGGTGAGGAGGGTGCGGGTGGATGGTAGGTGAGGAGGCACCACGTGTGACTCTGTAGAAGCCTCTGGAAGTAAGCTAGCTCACAGGTTCACAAGAAATTGTGCGGCCCAGAAGCACGGACCTTGGGATTTGGGAGCCTCAAATACAACATCTCTTAATCCTTCCAAGCTACATGAGCAAATAGGGGGGCCAGAGTCCCGGAAGAACTTTCTTCAGTGCGTCCTTTCCGGATGCAGCTCAGTAGCTCGTCTGTCCTTTGGGGATCTGTTCCAAGATTCCCAGGGACCCCTGACACTGCAGGTAGTACCGAACCCTATGCACTCTGATTTTTGCTACTTATGATCAAATTTAATTTATGAATTGGTACAGTGAGAGATCAACAACAAAAGCCAATCATAAAGCAACACAGTCACAAAGTGTTGTGAGGTAAGACCGTTGTGAACACAGTCTCTCTTTTTCTTTCCAAATAGTTTCTCAGCTCACTGGAGACTATTTTGCACCCATGAAAAACAAAATTGTGGATAAGGGATAACAACTATGCATCAGAAAAAAATTCCCCAGCAGGCTCCTCTGCCTTCCTTCATTTATTCCTTCTCTCCCACATGCCCATCTTTTGACTTGAACTGTTCTGCCTCCCTATCACCCACTATTCAGTTCCTTCGGGGTTACCTCCCTGGGCAGTCACGGTTTCTGGGCACGTAGCCCTTCTGAGGGGCCCAGCCCTGCCGCAGGAGTCCATCTACTGTATTCTGCACATCCTGAAGCTCTCAGGCCAGACCTCAGCTGGTAGGATGCTCCAGGTACCTTTGCACAGCTTCATTCGATCCCATAGAAGGCGGTTTCCCACCACACCTTTGTCTGTTCCTAAGTGATGTGGTAAGAAGCTTCTGTGATCACGTAAGTCTAGAGGACACTCAGCACAAAGCGTGTTGTTTTAAAGGTTGCCTGGACCATCTTCCAGCCTCCGTAAGTGAGCATAGTACTACTGGTTGAGGGAGCCTACGCATGTCTGGGTCTGGACCTCATTTCACAGACTGCCTCCCGGAGCACACTTTGGAAGCGACACCTCGGAGACCGTTTGGGAGCCGGTGTCAGGGTCCCGGTGTCCTCCATCTTTGCCCATGTCTTTATTCTTTTCTCACTTGCCAGCTTCTCCCCCTCACTCTTTGAAGCCCATGTAGGAATGTCTTTAAAATCTGTCTCTACTCATGGACTAGTACTCTGGTGGTGAGACTCCAGGCTGCCCACAGCAGGCGTTGTGAACACTCTCTCACCCTCACATTTACCACCTAACTACTGAGCTCCAACTGTGTTCACACGGTGCCCTATATGGCTTTTAGTTTTCACTTGAAAAGACATTTGTTTCATGGCCTGCAGAGAAGACATTGTGGTAAAGGGACTTGACGAAAGTCATGAAGACTGGAGTTTCGATCCTGACACCCACGTAACAAGCCAGGCATCCCAGGCAGGTCTGTAACCCTAGATTCAGGGAGGTCAGACTTAAGAGGCCTGGTGGTGCTTGCTGACTTATTGCCAAGGAAACATAACCCCCAGGTTGTGTACCCCTACACATATGTGTGCACAGACTCACATGAATAAGTATATGAACTAAAAATTATTATTTATACTTTATGATTTATTTATAAACATATGCACCTATTATTTTAAGGTTATAATTATTTAATAATTGTTACAACTATTTTAATTATATAAATTATGGGGTATAGTATTGATAACTTTGTATGTGTGGGTGTGTGTATGTGTTTGCATGTATGTATTTAATGTAGGACAATCAAATCGAGGTTCTTGGGACCTTTATCACTTTAAATATTAAAAAATGTTTTAGTACTTTGTAGTCAGAGACTGGTCGATCGTTCCCAGCTGCCCAGACCCAAAATAATTACACAGAAAGCTGTATTAATTAAATCACTGCTTGGCCTATTAGCTCTAGCTTCTTATTGGCTAACTCTTGCATCTTAAGCTAACCAATTTCTGTTATTTTATATTTTACCATGAGGCTTGTGGTTTACTGGCAAGCTTCCGGTGAGTCTGTCTCCTATGGCAGCTACATGGCATCTCACTGACTCCACCTTCTTTCTCCCAGTACTAGGTTTATTTTTCTCGCTTAGCTGTATTCTGCCCTATTACAGGCCAAAGCAGCTTCTTTATTCACTAACCAATAAAAGCAACACATATACAGAAGGAATTTCCACATCAGTACTTACATTTTATCTGTATAATTTTATTTGTTTTTCTGGCTTCCTGTTTGTCTCCAGTTGGCCTAAATGCTTCCCCCAGCTCTACACATATATTCCTCCCAAACTGGCTTGGTTCAGTGTAATAGAGGCTGCTATATTCCCCCTTTAACTTCTTCAGACTCAATTACAATAACAGTTGCCACCATCTGGCTTGTAAACACTGTCACATTCTCTTGGATGGAATGAAAATTATTATCACATTGACTCCTATGTTCATGTTTTGGGCACCTGCATTTTTGAAGTGTCTCTGTCCATGATGACTTTGGAATGGTCATAGTTTCACACCTATTTCTGACTGTGCAAAGTAACTAATGACTCTGCCCCTCCCTGATTTGCTTGGAAAAAAAATTCATGATGTCACCCACAAAGTTAAGGTATGTTGTTTTCAATTCTGTACATCTTAGCTTGGATGACTACAATCGCCAGGTCACACTGTGTAATGGAACCTACGAAGGTTTGTTAAGAAGAAACCAAGTAGGAAGAAATAGCGAGAAACTGCCAACCTTAAAGAACGTGCAGGATTGCTTGTCTCTGCAGAAGTTCGACAACCCACCTTTCTTCCAGAACTCTACCTTCAGCTTCAGGTGGGCACTCACTTCTTCTACAACACCTGAGAGCAGTGGTTAGAACCTTCCTAATGCTGTGACCCTTTAATATAGTGCCTCATGGTACAGTGACCCCCCCATAACTTCTGTTGCTCCTTCATAACTGTAATTTTGCTATGGTTATGAATTGAGACGTAAATGTTTTGAGACAGAGGTCACAGTAGGGTCGCAGCCCACAGGCTGAGAGTGACTGCTTGAGACTTTACGCTTGTAGTTATGTGGGGCCAAAAAGGAACCTAGATACTGGCAGACATTTATAAACCCAAATATTAGAGAAAGGCTTAAAAGCATAGAGTAAGGAAGGGTTGATGGTAAGAAACACACTCTTACCAATACTGTGGTTTCATTAGTTTCTAAATGCCATCCTAATTTCTGATTTCTGTTTACATATAGAAATTGCCTCGGGATCAAGGTGCCTCATTAACTGTCCTACTTTGACAGTGTTCGTATGATTTATTATTCCTTTCTTACTTAATTTCTTAAATGTTGGCATTAGAAGCTCATCAGTCACAGGTTCTAGTACTGGGTCTGCCTCTCAGAGGAGTTTTTCAGATTTACCTCAAAGTGTTGTGCAGCATAATAACCTCATACTCAAACTTAGAGACAACTATGAGTTTTATCACCACCCAAAAAGTGAGAGTTAGGAGTATGTATGCAAATGAGGTTCTAACAAAGCATGCAACCCCCAGGAAGGAGCGTGGCCTTCTCCAAGCCAGATTTGTTCCCATTCTCTAGAGCTCACCACATCCCACATAAATCACATAACTTACATGGGGCTAGCAGCAGGGCAGACCAAAAGTAATTCCAGGAATTTTACTGACTGTTGCAGGGCTTTGGAGCTGGATTTATTTCAAAAGTAGGCAAAGACCTGGACATGGTGGCACACGCCTTTAATCCCAGTACCGGGAGGCAACGGCAGGCAGATCTCTATGAGTCTGAGGCCAGCCTGGTCTACAGAGTGACTTTCAGGTCAACCAAAGACACATAATGAGACCCTGTCTGAAATAAACTAAGAAAAAAGTAGGTCAAGGGTAAAATTTAAGAGTGCTTTAAAAAGAAGCACGCATTCATCTTTCCCTATGACAAAAATGCTCTTAAGCCAGGCTGCAGTCTCTCTAGACTTGAGCTGAGAGTGGCCCCTAAAATCTGATTCTTGGGTCACAATCACGGCTTCTTTAGAAGTTGGTAAGGAACATATATTGTTAGGACTCTACCTATCCTCATTGGGTGGAAAACTCTAAGAAAAGGTCATGAACATTTTCTTTAGTGATTCCAAGGTAATCTTACTTTTTAATATCACGTGTCAGTGTGAAGATATTTAGATTTCCTAAAGATATAGATGGAAAAGAAAAAAGAAAGGGGGGAAATGCTGGGGTATGTTTAGAAGTATAACTGTCTTCCAGCTAAGCCAACAGTCTCTTTTACCGAGAAATATGAATATAAGATTCTATCAGTGTTGATTCAATTTATTCATTTATTGAACACAGCCCACGTGTTGAGCAGGATAAGAAGCCCTGGCAATAAAAATCTAAAGGAAGCATAGTCGCTGTCTTTCAAGGCTTAGAAAACAAGAATAAAGATAAATAGCTATAGTGTGCACGAAAGAGAGCAATGTAACCCAGCAGGGCAGGGGCAACATTGATTGAGTTCCTTCACCTTCTCGAAGATCCTTACAAAAGGGTAAAGGAAAGAACCCTCAGCCAGTTAACTGCAGAGCCTCTCCTTATCCAGACTTAGACTGGAAGAAGGCTAGATAGCACAGAGACCTTTGCCAGTCTTTACTGAAGTCACTGACGCTTTGGTTTCTCTCAGGAATGCTCTGGAAGGGTTTGATAAAGCAGACGGCACCCTGGACTCTCAAGTCATGAGCCTTCATAATCTGGTCCACTCCTTCCTGAATGGAACGAATGCTTCGCCACACTCAGCTGCCAATGACCCTGTGTTTGTGGTACGTTCAGAGACTCAGATCAGATGAAACACCTTCTCCGTAATCTGTCGGCCTCACTGGGTTCCCAGTGCAGTGAAGGTTTGGTGTACATACACACTGATTTTAATCCGCAGGGGAAGCGTGGCTGGAAAGCATGTGAAGCCCCTCCTCGGAAGCCAGTCCTGTAGGGATGTCTGGATTCGGAGGAGCATAATTAGCAGTTTACAGTCTAGAAGGTAGTTTACAATTAGCAGAGTTCTGTCAATAACATAACAGAAATGCATACCATAAATTAGCACAACTGTAAGTCATGTTTTACTGGCAAAAGAGTGGTGTTGAAAGTGTTAACAGCACACAAATGGCCTTCAGCTTGTTGCCTATAGACAACAAAGGCTTGGCTACCAGAAGAAGGGGGTCAAGGAATGCTGGCTTGATGAGAACCGGAGATGCTTCAATCACGGCGGTGATATGAAACCTAGGTTTTGAATCACATACTGTTTGACTTCACCCTTCCATGAGAAGAGAAGACAACCATTAGAAAGAGGTGGCACTGGCTACTCAGGGTCCTTATGGCTCTTTAGCATCCCACGCGCAATGATTGGCTTTGAGAAATCTGATTTCAGTCTCACTTTAAAACAGGGATTTTGGCAATGCTTGACAGTGGGGTTATTGTCTTCAAAACCCCAAACTACATGAGTTCTTAAAGAGAAGTGTCCCCAGGAGTTCTCCGGAGACAGCTCCAATGGGGACGGGGCCAGACAGGGCCATGGTATTCAGCTGCACATCACCATGTGCTTTCCCAAGAGGTGGACCTCTGTGAGCACAACTACAAAGCAGGTCTACCATGGTCTGGAGAAGCGAAAAGATGACTATGATCATATCAAGTTTATTATAGTATGCTACTGTTTTATATCATTTTATTAGTTTGTTAATCTCTTACTATTCCTGGGTGATATTCATCACAGGTATGCATGTAGAGGAAATACATAGCATACACGAGGTGTGTTATTACCTAAGGTTCAGGCATCCACTGAGGGCTTGGAACATACGTGTGGCATCTGTTCACTTCTGCCACAGATGAACACATTGAGTTATCACATATTACAGGGAAAGAATGGAGAGAGGTGGGAGAGGCTTGGCCAGGGGACACTAGAGAAGGCTGGTCAGCTTTGGGTCTTTGCCAGATGCTTTGTGGGAACAAGCATGGGATTTTCACTCTGGGTTGATCCTGTCAGGAAGACAGGGTGATTCTATCTTTGGGGACTCAAAGCACTTAACCGTAGGGAAGGCAGACTAGACACTATTTATTGGTCAATCAGCGGCAGTCATTTGTGGAAGACAGCAAAGAGGACCCTGGGTATTTTGTCTGTGCTCAGACGTGCCTATAGGGTTATATTAACTTGGTCCTGATCCATTACAGTTGCAGGGGGCCCTGTCTGACAGAGCGCATCCTGGCCTAGCTGACACTACCAAGCAGGTTCCTGTGTTGAGGTTGCTTTTCCTTTCTCAAGCGCCATTCATTAAAGTCTGCTGGGAAGATTTACAGAGCAGCAACACTGGTTTTCAAGTGCTGACCTCCAGCAAGGCATCTACTCTGGAGGCCCTCAACTCACACAACGCGTTTGTTGGCTCTCCTCAGAGCTGTGTCTGAGATAGATGATTTAGGAGCCTTCATAAAAGGAAATGTCTCCTTCTGTGCTTTCACTTTTGGGTAGTATTTTGGATTTAGATTACTCCAGAGTTTTTTCATTCATTTGTTGAATTTTATTAATGTGTCTTAGCTTGCTCAGATTTTTATAGAAACACCCGACTGACTTGTTAGCTTAAACAGCAGCCCCTGTTCTGGGCAGGGAGTCAGTCAGCTTAAGGTCCAAATGCTGGCACAGTTAGCATCAGATGAGGCTTTTGAGTTAGTTTTTCTCATCTCTGTGACCAGTACACCTGACGAGAAGCAGCAGGAAGGGAGAAAGTGGCTTAGAGCGCAAGGTGATCAAGGTGGAAAAGCAAGGCAGAAAGGATGAGAAGCCGCCAATCACACTGCATCAACAGACAGGAAGCAGAGTGAGCAGGAAGTGGGGCCGGTTTATAAAACCTCAAAGTCCTCCTCTGGCAAGCCGCTTCCTGGAGCCATCTTCCTCTCTAAATGTCCATCGTATCTTCCTGAACAGTGCCACTAGGTGTAAAGGAGGCGTCCCAACACAAGAATCTATCGGGGACATTTCACATTCAAGCTGCGACAGCTCTCCTCCTGGGCCTCCTGGCTGTAACCTTGATGGTGGAAAGAGAGGGGGAGCAAAGTCTCGTATTCTATTTCTTAGCAGGACACGAGTCGTGTCACATGAGGGCCTTACCCTGAAGATCTCAAGAAACCCTAGTTACCTCCTCTTAGGTCACATCTCTAAATGCAGGCTGGTCAATGAAAGTGACCGTCAACACGTGAACTTGAGTGAACTTGTCAGTTCACAGCTTCAGCAGTTTAGAGAAGTTTCTCTGCACAGACTGCTGGGAGGCCACGTGACCCCGGGAAGAAGGACACTGGATTCTAAGTCAGCTTGACTTCATTTAGCCTCAACTTGTGCAATCAGGAGAGGATCACTGAACAACACGGGGCCTCTGTTTCCCATCTGCAGGTCACACGTCTTATTCTTTGAGTGGGATAAACACTGTGCTTATTAATAATTAAGGTAACTTTACCTTGGGATAACGTAATGATGCTCTAGACACTCCAGAGAGAATTTGAATGTTATCATTAAAAATAACACTGGTTTTTGTGGTAGTCTGTGGGCGAGGATTGTAACATGAGGGACCGGCTTGTTGGGGTATCTGTCCCACCCAGTACCCCACAGCTGGCAAGCCCCAAAGAAAATCACGTACAGGACTCCATAAGATTATAAACTGATTGGCCCATTAGCTCAGGCTTCTTGTTAACTCTTATAGCTTATATTAACCCATTATTCTGATCTATGTTAGCCATATGGCTTGGTACCTTTTTCAGCTGTTAGCTCACATGTTGCTTCTTCGGTGGTCTGGGCATGAATGGCGGAGGAAGCTTCCTGCTTCCCAGAATACTCCCATTCTCTTTGTTCCACCTCTACTTCATGTCTGGTTTTCCCACCTATACTTCCTGCCTGGCCAATCAGCATTTATTTAAAATATGATTGACAGAATACAGACAGTTCTCCTGTACCAGAGGATTAGAGAACTACACCTTGGGTTTGAATTCCCAAGCCTTAATTGACATTCCTTAACTTCTCATCTAGTGCAGACAGTCATGCCCTGAGGCAGCCGCTACAGAGTCCCTGGGATTTCAAAGGTGACTCACTGTCCTTTACTGGACCTGTGGTGTGAAGGAGAGGGTGTCACTGAAAGCTTGCCCAGGGGTGTGAAGGGTGCAGTCCCCAGAAATAAATATATTCCTGGGTATCCTGGGTGGATTTAACGGTGGCCAAAACGAGCTTTAGTAAATACTGACGTCTAAGGTGATGGGTTATTTTTTCCTTCTAGAAATTGCTTCTCCTGTCAAGTATGTATAGCAATAATACGTGATGGGGTTCTCAGGAGTGTGGCCTGCTGGCCCCCATCTCTGACCAGGTGGGGACGAATTTGTGAGATATTTATGTCATCTCCATCGTGCTGGCTGTAGTGGTTTGAAAGAAAATGGCCCCCAAAGGGAGTGGCACTATTAGGAGGTGTGGCCTTGTTGGAGTGGGTAAGGCAGTGTTGGAGGAAGTGCATCACTGAGGGGGCGGGCTTTTAGGTCTCACATATGCTCAAGGTACCACCTAGTGTCTCAGTTCACTTCCTGTTGCCTGCAAGATGCAGAACTCTCAGCTAGCTCTGTAACGTCATGTCTGCCTGCGTGTAGCCATGTCCCACCAGGATGATAATGGTGACTCTGTGACTGTGAGCCACCACCTCAGTTAAATGTTTTCCTTTATAGGTGTTGCTGTGGTCTTGGTGCCTCTTCACAGCAGTAGAAATTCTAGCTAAGACATTGGCATTGCTTGTGGTCTCTTGCTCCATGTTTCAGATCATGTCCTTGGCTACCACTTCAGCCATCAGCTCATGCCCAGGTTTCCGGTATTTTTCTGTCATCTCTTCTCTTCACTGATACTAGGTCTCTAGCAAAGGTTTTTATTAACACCTTTAATAAATTAGCAAAGGTATTATTATGCACCTTCTACCATAAACTTGAACACAGAAGCCCTGTTCATTAGGAAAATGTCATAACTTCTTTTGTCAGTATTTCAAATGATTTTCAGGAGAATCGTGCAGTTCTTTAACAGACTGTGGATGAGATCACAAACCTCCCGCTGCCCCTGAAAGAAATAATAGCAAGATGCTAGTAAACCAGTTTTCTCTAGGACTCCTGTCTCCATGAGGAGGCTCATGAACCTCATTAAAGCCTATAGACACAGGCCAGATTTTTATGTAAATGGACAGATAGCAAAATTCTGGCATTTCTGTGCCCGAGAGACGCTGTTGCACTTACTCAATTCTTTAACTCCCTTCTCTCTCCTCTCCACCTCCTCTATTGCTTTCTCTCCATCCCTGCCTCCCTCCCTTGCTTTTCTCTATTTATTTGTACTTGCTCCTGGGAACTGAACCTGGGTTCTAGGGCCTGCTCAGCAGATGCCGAGCTTTATCCCCAGCACTTTCACTGAAGCCTGAAGGCAGCCATAGACACTGTGCACACTACCGAGTGCGATGACCCAGTGAAAGACAACCTGAAGAAAAAGGCAGCAGGACCACGTTTGTCTTATTTCACTGAGCGCTGTGAGCTCATACTTCTTTCTTGTTGCTGGCCCTTAAAACAATGGAATTACATTTTTCATTTGAAGTCAGGTTGTAGGGCATTCTCCCCATCCCCAATCTTTCCCTCCACTTTTCTTGTTTTCTGTTTTGCAATGGAGTCTTACTATGTCACCCACGCTGGCCTTGAACTCATAATCCTTCTGTCTTAGCTTGTGGAATATTTCCTTTAGTCATATTCTTCTCCTGTCCTAGCTGAGAACCCACAC